AATGTCCTCTTCAGAAAAATCAGGCTCATAAGCATTCTCACAATTTATTCCCATACATTCTTTGCAGAACATTGAACATTTTATTCCCAACTTTCGGCAGCCACAGTTTCCTTGGCATCCTTTAATACATTTACAGGCTATTATTCCAAGTAAATGTTCAGTTGCAGGAGATTTATTATTAAAAATGGGAACTAGCTTATTTATGGAATTTTTCCAACCCAAATCAAGGGGATTTAGTGTACAACCATTCTACTGTTGCATCTGAAAATAAACTCTTAACCCATGATGTTTGAAAGCATCAGTTGTTGGAGGCAATCGAGATAAGGTAAATTTTGCACTTGTTGAATACTTTTGAAATAATTTATATTGACAAGTTTTAGGCTGTTAATTTTTGAACTACGCCGATCAACTGTAACTAGGTTTTAATAATAGGTAAGGTAGATCCCCATTACCAACGCATGCGAATCAAGATTATTTACCATGCGCGAAACAGCGTCATTCGAAATTATTACAAGTATTCTGGTATGTACATAAATAAAATCATTTTACGAGTTTTCAAGCGAGGATAGAATTGAGAATAATACAACAATTAAGCGCATACTCTATGTTATGCAGGAGGACGAATTGATATCCACTTTTTTAGGAGCTTTTGGCTCTCTATAAAACTGTAATTTTAAGATTTTTTTTATTAAAAGTACAAAAATAATTAAATAATAATTACAGTAATTCGAAATTTACAAGATAAATATGATTAATTGTTGTTTAAATAAATAAATAATAATATCCAATCACCTAGAAATTTATTTTAACTTTCATATTCACAAAAATAAATTTATTAGATAAAATAATACCGAAAGTAATAAAAATTTTATAAAAATAAGAAAAAGTATCGTTGGTTAAATTGACATATCTCGGTTGATTTTAATTGTACAAACTTCTTCCAGGCACCATTTTAAAGGTCTTGAAACCAGCTTTCATTTGAATATGGCTATACCTAACTCCTTTCAGAAAAAAGTTGTGGGCCAAAAACAAAAAAAAAACGCATGTTTTCGTTTTTTTTACTCGTTTTTTGGGCGTTTTTGTTAAAAATATATTTTTTTTTTTGACTTCAGAAGGTCTCATTTCGATGGGAAATTCAATTTGCTACAACTTTTCTGTTGACAACTAGGTACATATAGTGAAAAATACATAGTTTTCGAGTAAAACTCAAAAAACTGAACATACCACCTTTTTACTTCGTTCTCCAAAACGCACCCCTTTAAAAGGTAGCACTCCGCGGTTTTATCATTTTTTAAATAATAAAATTTCTGTTACGCTGTAGTTCCTTTGTACTCTCTTTTTTTGACATAGTCAATAGCCTATTACTGAAAGCTTTAATTGTATTCTCCATCATCCTGCGTAGGTCTTAGATCTTAGTAATTTGAAAGGTTTTTATAGGAGCATGTGTATCAAACACTTCCAAAATAAATTCATTATAGTTTTGAATCTATGTCAGGTCTTTAAAACAAATAATCCCATGGAAAGTTCCTTAAAATGTGCAAAACGTAGCGTGAGAAAAAAGTTGGAATTTCTTTAAATGATTATTTTTGACAGTGATGGAACATAGGTTACAAAAAGTTCATATTATATTTTCTAAAAATATTGTAACTTGAAAGAATAAAACTTTCAGATATTATTATTTAGCATGGTTTCAAAAATACACACAATACACATTAAAGCGCTATTATCAAATAATATATCGGAAAAAAGTCACATCTCTTGGACAAGATCTATAACATTCAAATGTCCAATTTTAATTTTTTTACAAAATTATCCATAATTGCACGTTTCAGTATTCGATCACTATAACTTTTTATAGAAGAGACATGAAAAGTTTAAATTTAAAATCGAAAACCTGTTACGGTTTCTTGAATTACAAAAATATACATTACAGTAGCACCAAATTAAATATAATGATACTGTTTCATAATAATTTGTAAGTAATATTTTTGTATAGAACTATTTATTAAAATTATAAATTAACGAAAATGAGTAAATAATATATTTTTTGTATGCAAAATAAAAATTTCATAAAAAAAAGTTCCAGTTGGGATACGGCTTTAGACAATATTATGATAATGGAAGAAATGTTAATGAAAATATTTTTTATAGAAAATGCGCATAATTCTTTAATTATGAAATGCGCTTTGTCGTTGATTTAATATTAATGTAGATAATTTATTAACTACTTGTTGAAATCACATTTCATAATTCTAGTGGTCGCCAGCAGACAGCTATTTAAAAAACTGGAACTAGGGAAGATATAAAAACACCTTGTACAAACTACCTTATATTACGTATAATCTTAATTATTTGGTTTTATAATTAAACATATTTTTTGTCTGTGTAAATCCCTGAGCTAAAATAATCAGTCTATTGTAATACAAATAAAAATAATACAGTATAAATGCTATGATAATGTCAAGTTATTCCTACATTACTATAGACACTATGATAAGTACGTCTCTCTCTAACGTCTCCCATGTAAAATTCAATGCATGAAATAGCCTCATTATTCAATATAGAACATTTTAGAAATAGATAAAAGTAATTCTTTCAACAATGCATTGGGATCACACTTAGAAGTCATAGTGTTATAGATTATCTAAATACAATTAAATAAATTGACATATCAGGTACAGTTATGGAAAAACTCTTAAAATACGAGTGGCACGATGTAGGAACCGTAGAAGTAAAAAAGGCTAAAAATAATATCTTTACAAAATGAGGTAGACGATGTCCATAACCTGCTACTTTGGTGAGTAGCTTAGAGGCCCTAACCTAAAAATCAAATCCAAAAAAATTGAACCGTACGTGACTAAAGATAGAAGATGGTGTATTTCTTATTTTACGTAGGTGCCATTTTTAAGTACTCCATGTTGTAGTCGACGCCATATTGAAAGAATGTTGCAAAACAGCCACAGTCTACGAAAAATATCTCCTGCTGAAATTAAAATTAACAAATAAAATTAGAAAATAAAACTTGTAATAAAACACTTCCCACATATCTAATCTTGTCATAATTTAAATAAAACAAAACAAATAATTTAAAACAATGACAAAAACTAATAAATAAAATTTCTTTGTTTCTCAATAAATATATAAATAATGACAAATTTTGAATTTGCGTCACTCAAAACAATGGTGTCGTACTACATCTTCCTTAAAATTTAATTTACATCTACAAGAATATTAAAAATATATCTATTATTTTATACCAACTTAACAGATTCAGATATATATGTTGGTACCTACTATACAGCACAAAAGTAATGAAATGTGGCAAATTTAAATCCTCTTATAATAAAAATATTTTCTATTTCCTAAAATGGGGATATTATTCTATACACCCTTTTCAATACTTTTGTGAACAGCAGTTGTGATACGAATAATTCATACATAAGTATATTTTTTAGATCAAGAAAATACTCCTTGCAGATAGTTTGGTTTTATATTTATTTACATTAAAAACTTTCTGAAATTGTAGAAGAAAATATACCTTGTTTAATTTTTCCTTACATAATTCTAGACATACAGAGAAGTTATGCATTCCGTCGCAATATCTAAAATAACATTTTTAAATCTGGTAAGAAATAATAAATATTACTAATTAGAACCTAATATTTTTTAGTTAATCTGCAATGTTTTTAAAATGACAACAGTAACCTGCTCACATTTGAGAAAAGTACGTAAGAAAATATATTTTGAAGGATTACAGAACTTCACAACTAATTCAAACTTATTTCAAAGAGCACGTTAAATATTACAAGTAACAGAGCACGTACATTAACTATAAATTTAAAACAGGAATTGTATCGTTTAGTTACAATTTTTGGCACAATTTTAAAAACGACTAAAAGTAAGTAGTAATCTACGTTTTTGCTACAAAATACAAATTTTAATGTTTAACTTATTTTACAAAATGCCCTCTACGAGTGGCTTGCCCCTCACCTAAATTTATTCATGTTTTTCGATCTATCTGTCATTTAGTGTAAAATTAAATTCCTTAACTCACAGCACGATATGTAAATTCGATAGTTTTATGTATAAGTCACGTGTGACTTTATACATTGCACTGGAAATTGTATCGTAAAGTTCGCAAAATCTTTGCTGCGAATTTTGCAAATTTTACGAAAGATGAGGAATTTAGTTAATATCGGCAACAGCTAAAATTTTTGCCCAAAACTAACAATTTCAGGTGTTGCAGAAAAATATAACATATCTGAATCACTCAATTGTACCAATAGAATAGATTTTCACACTTGTAACTTTATTGGAAGGCTAGAAGAGAAATTTTTGCATAAAACTGAAACTTTTCTGTTCCAATTTTCTCGCATGGGAAATTAGCTTAGATAAAGATATCTGCAAATACTGACATCTAAAAAAAAAATAAATTATCCAAAAGATTCATTAAAACATGTATATCATCAATTTTATTCAATTTGTCAGAGACACACCTAGGGATAGACCCGAGTTTCTAACCCGTCGCAGAAAATTAGAGAGAAAGTTATTTTATCAATTTAATGCTACTATACCTTGTATCCTTAAGGGCGAGGGAGGGGGAAGACATTACACTAATTTCCTAAGGATATAAAAGTATGTATTTAGTAGATCATTTATATTTTAATTTGGCCCCCTCAATCTTTTCTAGGTGCGCCACTGCATTCTATACATCTAACCCAACCTTAAGGATTTCTAAAATAAGAAATGTTTTAATCTCCAGTGGATTGTTAAATATAAACAAGTGATTTCAGTCCAGTCGAGAACGTTTAATATCATTAACATATCTTGGGCGCCAAAACCTTAACTACTCATAAAAACTGGCTAAATTAGAATAAAGTAACCCGTTCGCATAAGTAATTCTCTTCAAACAACAGCGTACAAAAAGAATTTTTTACATGTGAAGAAACCGTTCGTCAGCATGTTACAGATCCGTAATAATAAAGCAGTTTGCTCTATTCAGACCGCAGTATTCTATCCGATCCTAAACGTGCTGACACCTAGTGGGATTTTCTATAATGAACACATTGTAGGCATTTTCTCTATATCGTCGGCAACTACTCGAGTTGTGATTTCGACACACCCTCAGAGAGGGTACTTGAGCCCTCGTGGGAAGTGGATGCGTTTCCGTTCCCGCTCTGGTCTCCCTCCCCACCTTTTTTGGGCTGAGTTCGCATCGGGCAATCAGCAATCAAGTGATCCTCGCTCTTACAGTTATGGCAGCGTTTTGGTTGAGGACCTAGTTGACACTTTGCGGCAATGTGGTTAGCAAACTCCCCACAATTATAGCATCTGTAAAAAGTTTTAATTGAATTACTGACTACAAAATATCGAAATTATTGGGAAGTATGAACAAAACGGAAGTTACAGCTTTTACTTATCTTTGTATGAATAATAATAGAATTAACATATTGTACTGGAAGTAGGAAATAAAAGGTATTTGTTACTTTCGAGTAGTAAATGCTCCATTTCATTTGAACAAAATCAAGCATCTACTTTTCACTCGAAGCAAATGCTTCAATATTTTGGAGGTAGCTCTTGACTCTAATCGTATGCACATAATCAAATGATACGACTGTTAATTATTATTGTGAATAATGACGGTTTTTATACGAATATCTACAAGAGCAATCAAGGATAATAAGAAACGACCGGAAACGAATCCAGAAAGATAACATTGTGGAACAAATGATATCTTACTTTTTAGGAAATAACATGGAGAGCAGCAATGGAAACGTAAGTTGGCTGCAAAGGATGGAAATTGAACCTAACAAAATACAAGCATCTAAAAAGTTATACCTACACTTCTTTCTTAATTCAGTCATTTGTTGAGAATAATTTTACTTTTACAAAGACTAAAAGAGATTTCCAATTTTGAATGCGTAAAATTTGATGCGCGATTTGAAGTAACTGGTCTGTGACGTTTCTATCCCTATTGCGAAGATGAGTCGTTTTAAAATTCCAGGATAGTTCTAGGACCTATCTCTCTGAGGTTAGCTTAATTTTTGGATTTATATTGCTTTATGTAGAATATTGGCCAAAATCTCTCTCCTAACAGAATAATTATGGTATTACTTAGGTCCATTATATGCTCTGTTCTCTAACATGGTTCCTGTCAGTGTGGACGTAAAGCGTAAATAAAATGTTGTAATGCAAATGTCCTCTTCTAAAATGATCATTAGGACCTATCCACAATTTATTGTCTTTCTACATTATAAATTTGGTCCACCTGTCCATAAACTTAACGGTGGGTGCTTTTTTTAAAAAAAAAAGCTTTTCGGTGTAGTTTTTAACCACTTCAGTTGCCTCAGTATCATCTTCTGATACTACAAATGACCCTTGAAACAGACTTTAAATAAGAGTCTGATAAGCTCGAACAGACAATGGATATCTCCAATTTAATCCAATCCAATCCAAAATTTATTCAATCCAGTTTCTTGAATTTTTAAATTTATAACCCATGAGCATGCGTTGTTGTAAGGCAACGATACTCTTTTTTAATGAAATACTGGTTTTAACAGTACACAAGAAAAAAATAATGAAACCCTTGTTAATTAATATTGATTAAAGGTTCTTAGTTAAACCAATGTAATACAATAATAATATTGATTAATAGCGACGAGTTAATGACTTTATTTGATAGTAACAATTGGATGTACACTGTAGTAATATAAAAATGTCACTTATGTTATACCAAGAATGTAATAACAGAAAACGTAATACAAAGTTGGTTTTAATTGACATCAAAGAATAGAGATTATATCAAAAAATTGGATTCTGGTTATTGAACAATATTTGAGGAGCCAGTTTTAAAATAACGTAACAAAATTTGAATCAATAGTCTTACTATACGAAAAAACTTTCTTACAATTAGTTTGATGATTTTCCAACTGGTTCTAGATCTTCTACTGAATAAAAAAAGAAAATTTCAAGGCATGTTAACAATGTAACAACCAGTTCGGAAGTCACCAAACCATTGAAGAGTCTTCTAGCGTTGAATTAAAAATAAGCTACCTTATTTTCCTAAAGCGTTTCTTTGACAATGGCCGTCTATGTGATCCTCTACAATCAGAACTCTGTGGTCCTGTAACTTTCGTCGCTTCTAATCCCTTTTCAGAAACTTGACATTCGAATTCAACCTCTTCTTCGTCTCCCAATGAACGAAAACCGCTCATTTGTATAACACTCTGAAAAAAGTTTCCTTTTATTTATCTTCAGAATATGTATTTGGACCAAATGATACTTTTGATTACAGATGTAGGTATCTACTAAATGGATATTCTTATTGTTTTTCATTTTTAGAAATTATGATTTTGGATAAGTATACATATTTGGATTTGCTTCTTTATTTGTGATCATAATCAATGCAAAAACGACTCACCGTTTTTAGAAATTGTAATTTAGAAGGTATAATGGATTGCCTTCTTGTCAGTACATTTCGTTACAAGATATTTATTTAGCTTGATATTTTTTAAATCATACTTATTATTTATATTCTTTACGATTTTTAGTGTTTCTGTTGCTAGTAGGACTTGGAATTGTTAATCCAGAGTAAGTTTTACTCTATACCTATTGAATTTTTTACAGATTATTCTTAAAATGCATTGCAAACTGTTAAACTTATGACTTTTTACGCCCTGTATAGAGTTTTAAATAGAAGTATTATAATGATATGATGTTAGATGGATGTAACTATATTGATGGAGAGGAAGATATGTATTGCTATTAAAACATGCCATAAATTGACCTGACATTTTGGCCACATCTTTTTCAATATTAATACTTATCAAACCTTATATCATGTTGAAAAATTACTATGATTATTACGTTATAAAAAGACTTGCTTCCAAAATACTCCATTTACGATTTAAAGAACAATGAAGTTTTCCAAACCGACTTATCCGAAAAACTTGAAATTTTTTGTTTAATTTCTACAAAAAATAATGCTCTATATTGCACAACAATAAATTAGCGCAGGTAGAGGGTTACATATTACGATATAAATGGATTTACTTTTACATGTTGCAAGCACTAAACTGACCTTAATTCAATACATATTCATTTGAAAATTGAACCATGTTCATACAAAAACTTCATTTAGTTTATTGTCCCATGATTATTATATAAATCTGTACCCATGAAATTAAAATATGTAATAAATTCAACAACTATCTTGTACCGATAAAGTATATCAAATGCTCTAAAAATTAAAACACAAATAAACAAAGATATTATTCATCCTTATTTTTTACCGTATAATTAAGATTCCGAAAACATTCTTTAGCCTGTTATAAATTATCTAAATGAAAAATCTACATTGAAAAGTTACCTCAAGCCACATTAACATTTAATACATTCCTAACAGTAATGCAACCATTTTGGAATTCAGTAATGAGTCAATTTGAAGGACGGAATTCGTAGTCCAACTTTTATCATTGAAAAGATTCTATTGGTTTAAAGAAATCGTTATGATAACGCAAGATTAATCATATCAATAAAATATTTGACTTTTTCCGGCATCTTCATACTTCTTGGAAGATAATCATTAGTTCAAGCTTAGTCATAATTGTTAGTTTCACTAATTCACTCAACATTTTCCCCTTAATGATACTGTTTCTTTCCCAAAAATAAACTATGCACCATATTTTAATTATATGTATAATTTATAGTAGAGGAATGATTCATATTAAATTCTATAGAAAAATATAATGTTGTTAGTATGTGCCATTCTTGGAAATTCCTAAGAAACGAAGGTTGTAATATTTGATTGGTGTAGAAATATTTCAGTTCAGAGCAAATACTTAAGAGCCAACATTAAATTCCATTGAAGGAAACGAAATATACCATTTAAGTTGATAATAATCAAACCAGCTAAATATAGACTAAGATATTACTTTTAGTACTGTACGGATCAAAATTTCACCTCCTACTTTATATACTTTATATACTTTAATATAGTTCACTAAAAATGGAAGGAGCTGAATTTAATATCAAGAAATACAGCTTTAATTATGCCAATGAGAAGGTTGAAGTGTAATGAAAGAGAACCCTTGTCAAAAGGATTCGTTGACGAATTATTTTTTCATCATCAAAAATTTTAAACTAGAAAAAAGATAGTACATGAAAGAACAAAATCGCAAATCAATACTATACCATTTGGTTTACCTTTCGACAAGCTTTCTCAAATAATGTGAAAATATCAGTATGTCTGTATATGTACGAATGATTAAGAGAGGAACACAAAAATAAGGACATTCTAGTCCATTTAGAATCAAATCATTTTTTATTTGGAAAAACTATTTTAAACTAAGAATAGAATCATAAAAAACAAAAGGCAACGTGACAACTTGTAATTTTTACATTTGTGGAAAAATACTGTACTAATAGGATTCAACTTTAAATTGAAATTAACGGTTTAATTAAAGTTTTAAAACGAATATTGGAAATATACTTATTAATACATTCTCCAGAGAGGCTTATGTTCAAAATCGTTTCCATAACATTTTTAATACGTATTGCATCTTTATTTGTATTTATATTTTTATCAGTAAATTTTATATTTTTTATCGAATTATTTTTCTTTCCTTTGGAGACAATTATGTTCTAGTATATGTTTGAAATAAATAAATAGATAAATAATAGGTTATATTATTTTACCTAATTTGACAATAAAACTAAATAATTAAATTAATAGGAAGATAGTATTGAAATTATAAGCAAAATCCACACAATTAAAAATAATGTATATCATACAGAAATATGGATTAAACAATCAACTTTTGCATTTGTGAATACATAACATTTGTACATAACAACGCACCAAAAATGAAGGAATTAATTAACAATATTTCTTATATAGACATTTCCTTTGTTATAGACTGTTATTAAAATAGAAAATGTTAAAGTCATATACATAGGTATATTTCTATATATCTTTGGAACATATGGATGATATTGAAATAAAATTTGTGTCATAATATACAAACGTAAATATAAATTTACTATGAATAATTAAGTCTCTATTCAAACCAGCAATAAAACTGATCTCTTGATTGTTTCTACAGCTTTTATCGGTTCCGTACAATTTTGTTAATATATTTTGATAAATTTAGATGAAAAGAATTAACAAAAGGCTTAAATATAACTTTCCTCTACCTCAGTATACTTCATCTACTTCACAATTTCGTTTAAAAAAAACATTAATTTGGAAGATATTCCGTTGGTCTATACAAATTATTAACTTAATATATCTCAAAAACGAGGGGCAAATATTTATATAAAAAAATATTAAATTTCAAAGTGGAACAGGCGGAAGTAAACGTGTTTGGTACCCGAAATTTTTTATTTCATTATATATTTTTTTTAATTCTTTTATTGTGGTATATATTTTTTTACGGTGAAATAACTAACCATTATTTACGCAATCATGATCAGAAGACAAACCAACAGATTCGACTGAATGGAACGTACGTTGCGATTGGATTTCATCTAGTCATTATTTAATGATCATGTGCAAAAATATCGTCCATTCTTTGCCTTAAAAACTAAATAAAGCCCATCATACAAGATTGTAACAGATACCCAGATCCCTTGTGTTTCCAACAACGAAACAACAATATCCACACCAAGTCACCCTGTACATTCCCTAGCGGGTCGAACTGATTGAATGATAAACTAGTTTAAAAGGTGGCATTCGTAAAAAATAGCGGCATATATTGAAAATATCAACATAATAGGCAGGTACTTCACAAAACATGAGGGGCTTTGTAAGTTACCCTCGCATATTTCCCGTTTTTTTACCATCGGAACAGGTCCTCAACGCCACGCAACAAGTATTCCGTGCCTTGTTATTATTGCTTACAGCCATTGTGGACCTGTCGGGTTTTAAGCTGAATCTGTGATATATTGTTATTTAAACTGATTCCTTAAATACATTTACATTTGAACTAACAATTCCTGAACGAACTAGACTTTGTCTATGAGCACGCAATTGATACTTGTGTATCGGCAGCCTTTGCGTATAAGAATGGTGGCCTAACGTTTCCAGTAAAGGTCAAATGGAAACATTTCTTTAGGTATGCCGAAATACCGTAACGCTAGATGGAGTGTAGAAAGCAATGCACTGGAGAAAAAACTAAGCTCGAATGCAGACCATTAAGTAATTTTGATTAGGATCGTGATGTTTACTTACTGGCTGATATTTTATGCAAAAAAATTAGAAAACGTTCGAAATAATTACGGGTTAATTTAAGAATAAGGTAGGTGTACTTTCTTCGAGATATTTAATATTGTTAAATGAGAAAGAAAATTTATTTTGTAGGCAACTCGATCACAATTTTTTAACAAGCTTTTCTTGCCTCAAGAACATAATAATTTATCTATAATGTACTTATAATACAAATACAACTTTTCAATTACCATAATAATAATAATTTTACTAATTTAATACATTCTTTCAATTTGCTTTTTTTATATATATTTGCTTAATTGAATAACCAAAGTTTTGTGTATAGTCCATATCGCATTGAGAGTGAAACCAAACCTCAACATTATCTCAGTGGTACCTAACATTTTCATTTAGTTGAATTTAGCAACCAGACCTTGTTACGATACTGGACTGTTTTGGTGCTGTAATAGTTCATTAGTAAAAGAATTTTGATGTGTCTAATTTAAAAAATACTGCAAAATTCTAAGAAATGATTCAGAAATTACAATCAGTTCATCACACAGATATACAGGGTGTTTGTAAATAAGTGCGAAATATTTTAGGAGGTGGTGGTTATTTTGTGAAAAAAGGTTCATATAAACGTTGATCGAAATATGCTTCGTTTCCGAGATACAGAGCGTTTAAATTTTAAATTTTGATTTACTTTTATTAACTATTTCAAAGAGTTTTAAAGATATTGTGCATTTTTTGGGGTGATCCGAATATTTCTACTCGCACTAGTGGCGTTCGCGCGAGAATGCCACAACCTTTTTTAATAAGAAAAATGGTACGCCACGGACTTTTTCCCGTTTGATATTTTTTTGAAATCCGCCATCAATTTTTCTCGCAGGATGCACCATTTATGAGGAAAAAAATTAAACATATTTTATTGTAGGTTTTGTTAATCTTTAATTTCAAGTCGATATCTTTAAAATTCTTTGAGGTATAATGAATAAAAATAAATACAATATTTAAATTTAAACATTCTGTATCTCGGTAACGAAGTATATTTCGACCTACGTTTATGTGACTTTTCTCATAAAATAACTTCGGCAACCCTCCCCCCCTTATTTACACTCTGTATATCAAAAATTTTGAGAAAATAATAGATATTCAAAATTCTATGAAAAGATTTTATGGTAGAATAGAATATACAGGAAGTTTACAGACTTGGAGGAAATTTGTAGTAGATAGACGAAAACGGCGCATGAAATTAATAATAATCAAAATTGTTAAAACTTATTGAGAATCTCTAAAATCGCCATTTCTATACAAAAAGCGCCGTGTCATCCGATTCCCGTTTGTGTATTTATGAAGTAACCAGAAAATTTGCTAGTTGAATATATAATTGGTCATTTATTTTTGTAATTCTTAATTTTAATTGTGTTTTTCCTTTTTGTGAAAAGACAGTGCACCTGTAATGTCAATACTCAATAAGTGCGAATACACACTAAAATGGTCCATCAATACAGTAGCAACAAATTAATGAAGATGGTGATAACGTATAGAAACGACGACGAGAACTACGACATAACTGTACATCTCTGTGTATTCAAATAGACATGAACGAATATTTGTAAATAGAGGGAGAGCTATCAGAGTCAGCAGTCCCATAAAAGTTTTCATCCTATTAATGTTGTTAGTAAGTATTAAAAAAATTGCACACATATTTGCCATTCGAGTTTCCAGTTTATTCTTCAAATATAATCTCCAACTTTGTAATCATTTGTACATTTCATTTCAGAGAGAGGTTTCTGGAACAGGTACCAAAAGTAGAACATACTAAATTTTAAGTAATAGAAATGCCTAATACCAACTTATTTTTTGCAGGTAACTATTTCTTGCTAAAATGTCGAAACGTTTCAATTCCAAATACCTGAAATATGAGAGCGATTTCATGAAAAATGAAACATGACGTGTCTTTCCAACATTTTATGCGGAATTTAATGTTTTAGTTGCTTTTATGATCATAATTTCAAGGTTTTTGTCAAAAAAAAATATAATATTTTGTATTCATCCAGTATAATTCCAAGATGCAAAATACCATGCAATTAATCTGTTTACGAATTTTTTTATATCACCTATTCTTTTTATTTGTTTAACAGTACTTTGGAATTAATTTAATGCGTTACCAAAAATGGAACAAAGTGTGTTTACTATTACAATTATACACATCACTAAACCACAACAAAAATTAGTTCGTGCTGTTAACCGTTTCTATAAACGGTGTTTCATTATTTCCCTGTAATAGCGAACATGTTCCGAATAACAATTTCAATTACAACGCCCAAAATATTACCTTGGAAACAGTACCAGCATAGCAATAATTTTGTTTGTTTGTATAGGCGCTAAATCCAATAGCATCATACGTACATTTCAGAGCATACCTATGCACATCCTGTCAGAAAAATAAATGGAAATAGTTTTACCATAAATCATAATTCAGTGTGATAGTAGTCAGCCTTGTTAATTCACTGACACCTAAAGTATTTTATTGAAAATTTCATTCATATGTCAAATTTGAAATTTCCAGAATTCAATTCAGGTATTCTGTTATTATTATCCAACAGATCAATTACATACTCTGAAAAGTATGTAAGTTAATATTTTTGTTAGAAGTGTTTATTAAGATTTTAATAAGCGCCTCTTCTATATATTTTAAATTATAGTAATACATATATAGTGTGTCTATACTCTCGGAGAGGAAAAGCTTTTTTTTTATTTTTGGTGTTTTTTGAGAAAGTTGTCTTCATAAAAATGATTCCTTGCATGTTCAAAGAGTCAGAAACTGTGAAGTAGTTGAAGAGGGAAGAGGCTTTATCTATATCTTACAAAAAAATACAATAAAAGTTGTTTGCAATTAAAAAATAGGGAGTTTCAAGTAGTTTAACCTTCCTATTAATAAATTTATTTATAATTATAAATATTGGAAACAAAATAAAAAAGCATAGGTATTTCAGATTATTTGCAACAATTTTGTATTATTAGTGGACTACTGATGACACTATCTGCCTCCAATTTTGTTTTCCACATAAGTCCGCATTATTTCCGAAATTAACTTTTATTTACTCGTTGCTTCAAGTATCTTCATAAATAAATATGGTCAAATCGGGACTCCGAAATGGCCAGTATGTTATTGTCAACATTGTGATGTAGCCGATTACGAATTAGAGAAGTCGAGTGAGAAGGACAAAATCATGTCATTTCTGTAAGAAATATATTATTACCATAACACTCATTTAATTTTGTGCTGCTTCGGAGTACCAATTTGAAGTGTGATTCCCAAAATAATATGAAATTATTTCAAAACTAAAAAATAAACAGCAAATACGTTTACAAGGTAAGATGCAAAACTTGTTACTCTGGATTTTAAATTTGCTTCCAATGATTATTAATAAACGTGAAATTACGAATATGAGGTACAAACTTAAAATTCATTGCTAATAACTTTTTAATGCGTTTTTTTTATGATATAAAATAAAAACAAAGCCACTTCGCTATTTAACTATTTAAAATTTTCTTATTTCCGAACATCCTGACCAAAGATAATTTAAATCAAAAATATTTTTCTCCTCCGGACAGTATTCCTTGGACACATTATATGTAAGGCATTAAATAAGGTTCGCTGTTAATGAGGCAATAACTGCTATATTCAAACAATTTTATTAATATATATTTGTACAGTATTTATGTAATTGCCTAGCGAAAAACAATTTATATTTTTTAATGATAAAAAGTGTCAAGTTACTACTAAAGCTCATTAATACATTTTGGTATAATAAAATATCATGAAGCTAGTCTTTTTCGCTTTTCTTTTTTGAAATCGTGATTTTTTGAAGTTTTTGTCAAAGTATTTTTCACAACTCGTTATACATACCTGTTTTGCTTTGACTGTATTTGCTTTGTTTTTTTTTATGATCAAAATTTATTTTATATTAAATACTAAGGCTAATGCTAACAAATATGACTTCATGTAATAACAAGTTGATATTCAATAGAGGAATTAACTGGCCCTTACAATATATCCATGAGACATACATTTCCTTTGAAAATATTAAAAAAGTTAAATATGATTTCATTATTATTTTTTAAGAGGAATGTCTTTAATTTTATAATAAAAGACAACTGTGCATCGTATTTCAAAGATATTGGCATCAATTCCTTCTTTATGTAAAACCAAAACTCTGTGTTTACATTCTTACATATTCTTACTCAGAATGACTCAGTCTGGTGAATCTATGTACGCGTATATTTTATAGGTTATTGTTAGTTTGTAAGGCAATCAGTAGGAAATGAAAGATAGGCTTACATCACATTCTTTTGATATCTCCCGTACTATTAGACACAGACCCACTAAACGTTATATCACTATAATCTTGACAAATTGTTCTAATAGAATATGCAAAAATGTATCGAAACAAGGAAGAACATAGCACTAATTGATCTTTACCTATGCAAATTTCCCGAAATTAGATTTTTAAGCAAGATGTGCGAATGTTCTTGGTTTTAAAACTTAAGAAATTGAATTAATATACAAATTTTAGTTAGATCCATTCATGGAAATTGGAGGATCTGCTGCATTTAAAATTTTATAAAAACAAAAATTTTTGCTTCATGAAACGACAAAACACCGTTTCTATTACCTACTTTCTATCTAATTCTTCAATTTTGTAAAGTTATAAGAATCCGTGATATTCATTACCTGATGCACGAAAACATCTTGTCCCCCGTCATCCGGCGTGATGAAACCCCATCCCTTCGCTACGTTAAACCATTTACATTTTCCCCTCCTGAGGCCAAAACCTGCTTCCGATCCTCCTTGGCTTGCACTTCCGCCTTCGGAACCTGAAGAAAATCTGTCATTAAACCATAGGAAGCGCAGTGCAATGTAAATATTACTAAGTAAAAATTATCTAAACTACCCGGATGGAAATCGAACAGAGATGCCGTGATATTAGCCCGAAAATGGTAACACAAGTGTCTGATATCTTTGTACTGGATTTATTATGTATACAATAGTTTAGTGTAATTTTTTTTGTAAAAGATACTTACATGCAAGTGAATAACAATCTATCATCAACAGTTGCTGTTTTATTGATGTGTGTTGTGCATATAGCAGAAAATTTTGTATAAAGATTTAATTACAGATTTACAATTTCTAGAAAAGTTATTATAATATTGTAATGACGTTACAATGTGGTACACATTTTGGATGGGTTACGTAGTTGTATCTTGTTGGTATTTTTTTTAATTAATTACGTGTATGAGAATATAATGGAGTATTTTGCTAGAACAGTAGGAAATACCTCAAGAAGCCTAGAATGCATTCGAGGGTAAGTACTGTTCTATTTTTTTAGTAACTGAAACAGTGCCCTAGATAATTAATTACAGACGTTTAAAATGTGACAAATTACATAAGGTGGCTCAATCAAATTTGGTACACGTTAGGGTATTGTTTTTGCTGCCTGATGCCTTTAGATCTTTGAAGGAAAACTACTAAATTTCTGAAGTATATATCGATTCTATACAAAAATTGCTCTTGCTAGTTCCTCGTAAGATTTCATGCAAAAAGAGATGATTCAATTCGTTGTTTCCAAAAAGATATATAAATTTAAGATACCAAATTAACTGTATATCTCAGAAATGAATGGTTTTTGCACTATGAACTTTTTGATGAATTGAAAAGATAAATCGTTTGTGTAGGTTTGAAAGGATATTGTAAATAGCTAGATACAGCATACATCTTTTGGCATCATCTCCTTTTTTGTTTATAAAACAACTTGTATTCAGCAGAAAGATATTTTGTAACAGTCAATTCATTTCTTTAAGGACACAAAAAGTTCATATTAACATATATTGAACTCTTTCCCTTCTTTTTGTTTGAAATCTAGTAATTTTAAGAGAAACTGAGTAAAGCTATTTATTGTTCGAAATAGCTAGGATAATTCAAAAATTGAGCCGCTCCAAAATTCAACTGTTTCTACGTTAGAAATATGTAATTGATGTATATCAAATTAACTTAAAAAAGGCGTAGATGAAGGAAGGAAGTCAATCATATTAAAAAAAAGCAAAACAGAGTATCAAAATATTTAAACAACTTCTTTTCAGATATTTTAAGTTCATTGTTTTTAAGGACAAACAGTAGGATGGCGATTACAATTAATTCATTTTGATACTTTTAAGCAAGTTTCCTTCCAGTTAACGCTGCATAAGGAAAGAATGGCTAACGAATTCCAAAGAACTTCTCAAAGAGAAGGATGACAGATGTATATATCATCATATTAATTTACATTCTTTCTTTCACAATTCTCACAGACAAAATGCTCATGTTTGGATCACTAATAACTCCTGCGTTCCGTTCCTATTTAAAATATGAAAAGCTATCCGCATATAATTTGACTCATCTTCCCATAGACTTCCGAGAATATGTGTATAAAGGAATAAAAAATCTATGAGTTATTTCAGATATGAACATAATATATATTTCCATTTAATTATTAATTATATTCTAATTACTGAACGAAAATTTAACTTTTATAATGCCATCCCAAGAAATATATGTTGAAGGTTGCACCTTCAACATAGGGAGATACATATTAGGTATGTAAATCTTCTCTGTATCCACAAGCATTGTCACTTTAACGACAAAACAATAGTTTGAAAGTTAGGTTAAGAAACCGATAATATCGGATACTGCCGGATAGGTAACTAATTTAGGATACTGTCTGACATTACTTGATGTTAAAGTTGATAAAATTGATGACGCGACTTGCAAGTCATCTAGAGGAAAGTTTTTTTAATTTAATTTATATGTAATTTCTTCTTCCGTTTGTTCGTTTCTTCTACAAACGAAATTATAAGCTAAAATGTGATTCCAATCGATTTTCAGCAGGGTAAACTAAAAATCTCTTCGGTTCTTCTTGTAACGCAAAACTATCATGGGCAAAGAACGTTTGAATACGAAAAGGAATTCACTTGCATTAATAACTATAAAATCTATTTTTAAATTTCCGGTGTTTAATTAGGGCACGCTTGAATTATATTGAAGCTTTTGCATTAATCTTCCCCTGTTATGTAATCCATTTACACTAATAGCGTCATTAGCATTGAAATTAAAAATTACTTAGAGATCAGCAAAGCTTAGTAACTTAGATTCGTATCGCAAATATTAAATAGCAAAGTTAAATGCATACATTTTAACTTAATACTAAAAGCCCACCCTATATTTATATAAGTTCAAAAAATCTAGGTCTAACAAATATTGTATTAGATAATTTTCAGAATACGTGACTTAGGAAAATCGAAACTTTAATAAGCATTATCGAATCAAGAGACGAATGCTTCGAATGCTGCACATTAAATTACAGTCAAATTTTTATAAATTTTATATGGATCCTTTAAGAACAATAGAATGCGAAGGTGATGGTGTTTAATTAGAAAATCACTGCAATTGATAATCCACTCATTATGATAACAGAAGATTCCTCTAGCCCTGAAGATACTGTAGACCTGTTCATTTGTATTGGTACAAATAGATAGGAGCAGTAAAGGTCCAATTTTGTTCATTTATATCTCCCAGTTTGCTCTAAATTATATCAATTGTCAGAACAACCAGAGTTACAACATCACTTGATCTGATTCGAGTACACTAAAGAAAATACCTTATGCTATTACAGTGCTATAGCAGATTTATCATAAAGTAGTGACGCTGTAAAACAGACGGGCTTGTAATAACATCTCACATCTTTGTCTAATTAAAGCAAATATAATAATCTTCTGCTGAAACAAAACAGTTCATCTTTTCTGAGATGTGGATTGTGAATGGACCCACATTAAAACACATTAGGAAAAGAATGAAACAATAATCAATATGCCTGATAACGATTATTATTTTCAAGATGACTGAAGACAGCTAAACTATAAAGAATTTTTACCAAACGAAATTCTTTTTTATCATATCATAAGCGCTCTGCTTTTCAAATCTTGTTTCAAACACTGAAATTTCAGATCTTTCATCATTCTTTGTATCATCTTAATCTTATGTCTGCTGATCATTATCATGATCTGAACCCTTGAATGATGCTTTGGGTAGGCAAAATTATAGGAATGATAAGATTTTAAACATTCTTGGTGCATTTTTGCCCAAACTCTTGAACATTAAATTTGTTACAGCTTGAAAATCCTCAGAAAGAATTTACATATAAAAAACTAAAAATATGTATGAGTATGCCATGATGATTTATAATCTAATTCTGTATTTACATAAAAATCATACCTATAAATTCCATCACTACTTGTAATACTCAATGAAAATGTTAAATTTCATAATATGTAAGTAGGCTAAATAAATATAGAGTTCGACGTAGCTAAATATGGTGTATAAGTACATACAATGTTATAATTCCTGAAACATTTAATGACAAAAATATCAATATTTTGTGACCAACAAATAATTTTACGTTGCTCAGGAGCGGTAGGAAATTGTAGGTGGAGGGTTGTTAGATAAAAGGTTATAATAAAGTTGTTTATTCTGTCTGGAGCTGGAATTTTTGATATTATAAACTAAATTCTTAAATAAATTTCTGTATTATAAAATTTTTACAATGTACCTACATTATCAATGCACTCAGGAGACTTATTTTGTGATATCTTCAACCTAGGTCCGTACAATATTTGTTGAGATAGAATTCCAAGAACAGAAAAAGCCAATAAAGTTCTGTTACCGGAACTACTGTAACAATTTACCGCGGCAGGGGCGTGAATTGAAATTTTCCGCATTATTTTCAGAATATTGAAATATAAAATGGTAAAAATATTTTCTTTGTTAACCAGCCACTTGCAGCATTCGGTTCAATACTTGCTAATAAAGCTGTCATACTTGCTGTCAATAATTAACAGAAACTTAGTTATAATATTAATAGAAATGAACATACGGCACAAAAAAAAGACACAATGTAATAATAATTATGTTCTTTTTACAGGAATACAGAATCATGGAGATTTCAAATAATAAAACGTTTTAAAGCTCTATTAAATCTCAGTCTTTTTTTATCTTCATCTGATTTACTAATCCTAATAGTTGTTACAAAATATATTTTCTACTATACTTTGTGTTTAGGTTAAATTGATTAATTTCTCTTCCGAAATGCAAACCTTCCGTCTCTGCCTTGAGTTTCAGTTGCTCTTGTCCCAAATATTCCCATTATTATTCGCTTAATCTAAGGAGCAAATAGGTGAATAGCAAAATAGACGTTATATTTTCCCGCGGTTACAATGGCCCGTTTGAGGATGCAGCCAGACAGGCCAGTACAAGGGTTGTTTGACAGGGGGTTGGTTTTCAACAATACCTGCGCTAATATCTAGTTACCTAGAACCGAGCCTAGGACAGTGACGTACACGAAAATTTCCTAATATAAGGTCAATACACTTCGCAGAGAATTCATTTAAAATCAAAATTTTGCGTTTGAAAAATTTGTCAAGAAAAATCATCGTCACTGACTTTGATTACTGAGGAAGAAAATATTTTCTAAGTAGGTAATAAGCGATACAATAAAAATTGTTAATTTTATCACGAACTTTTATATTATTAAGAATATACATACTTGCGATGTTATCTTTCGGTTAATATATCACAGGATATTATTGATAAGCTATTTGTTGGGAAATTCCTATCCGCTTGTGAGTCATAAAAATAATGACTGAATGAACTTCTTTAACTTTATAATTTAAAGAAGCTGCATTTGATTTGTATATCCAAATTAAATTTTTTTAATATATCGAAACCGAAGGTTGTAAGTTCTTAGTGTCAAACACACTTTGGAGTTATTTTAAAATAAAATACTACT